GTCTTGCCTAGTCTTGCCGATATGCATATATATGTATGTATGTGTATTTTTTAAGCTGCTTCTCAGGTGCACCTAAGGCTTCCGCTAAAACCTCAGTGCAAAGAGAGGTAGCTTGGTGAGAACTGCTGAGGGCTGTAAATCTGGCCCCTTTCGTTGGCCGTTAGGAAATTATTTCCAGTTAAACAAGCTAGGGAAAGGTAATTGAACACATGGTTGATGGCTGTAGCCAAGTGTGTGCACTAGAAAAACAATCAGCTCTTTAGAGATGCCAAGCACTAATATTATGCATTTTCTGTTGGAAACTGTACACTCTTCACTGCCTTGAGCCTCCCGTGTGCCACCTCATATCTTCAATCAAATTACTATATTCCAGAAATATGCATAAGGGAAATGATTCTACACATTTTATGGTGGGTTGTTGCTTGTAGCAGTAATTGAAGTACCTTTTCCACTTATGAAAGTACTAATTTTATTTGTTTTTATTGCTTTTCTAGATGCAATTATTTATTTAGTGTGCTTTGGCCTTATTAAATTATGTTTACTATAGAAACATCATAAAAATGTATGAAAACAACACATCAGCCAAGCCAGCCTGGTGACCTGTATTGGGAAACCTAGTGTTATTTTTCATATCCAAACCTAATGGAATAACTTAAGAATAAACAGATAATCTACTAGAAAACAATGCAGTTTCAAGGTAATGTAATAAAACACCTGGACAATATGATTTCGTAAATCTTGGTTCTAAAATTTACATGAGTTGGGTTTTGCGTGCTTGTCTGAGGACACATGGCATTTCTAAATGGAATCATTATAATGTGAAATGTAATTAAACTGCAAAGCAGAATGTAAACAGGGTTTTGTTGGCTGGTAAGATATGGGGGTCTGAGAAGCAATGTAAAGACTTCTGGTGTCAAAAGACAAGCAGAAGGCTCTCATCCTTAGGAATTTCCTTAACTTGGACATTTAACGGTGGTTGGATGGTTTGTGAAGTTCGCTTGGCATCTCCGCTGAGCAGTAGGGCCTGGCTCTTAGGGGTGCTTTATATCCTCTCTTTGTCTCCTGCTCCCTGCCCCTCCTCTGGTCCCTCTCAGATAAAACATACTTTTTGCTGTTGGTATTCTTTTTAAGAAACTGTAATTGAATGTAAATGGTTTGTTGTTGTTAGTTGCTGGCTGATTGGCTGTGACTCATGGCGACCCCATGTACAACAGAACAGAACACTGCCTTGTCCTGCACCATCTTCACGATCATTGGGGTGCTCGAGTCTGTTGTTGCAGCCACTCTGTATCCTGAGTGACTTCCAATCTTGGGGAATCATCTTCCAGCACTGCAGCAGACAATGTTCTATCGTGATCCATAGGGTTTTCCATTGGCTGATTTTTGGAAGTAAATCGCCAGGCTTTCTTCCTAGCCTGTCTTAGTCTGGAAGCTCCACTGAAACCTGTCCACCACGGGTGACCCTGCTGGTGTTTAAAATACCCCTGGCATAGCTTCCAGCATCATAACAACTTGGAAGCCTCCACGGTATGACCAACTGACAGACAGGTGGTGGATAAATGATTTATTTGCCCTGAATTCTTGAGAGATAAAGTATAAACCCGTTGCTGTCGAGTCTGTTCCGACTCATAGTGACCCTATACGACAGAGTAGAACTGTCCCAGAGGGTTTCCAAGGAGTGGCTGTTGGATTCAAACTGCCAACCTTATGGTTAGCAGCCAAGTTCTTCACCACTGCACCACCAGGGCACATAAAAAGCAAAATCAAAAGAAAACAACAACAAAACCAAAGTCGAAACCAAAATCAAAAAGATCCTAAATCTAAAATCCCAGTTTATAGAGAGCCAGTCTGCTTACCTGAAAGTCATGTGTCTTTATGACTATAAACTAATGACGGATTTTTATTTTTCTAATTATGTATCATTTATATACATGTGCCTGCTACAAAATTCAAAAGGTCCCCCAAAAATGTATACAATAAAGGGTAAGTCCTCCTCTCAGTCCTACCCCAGCTATGCAGCCTGCTTCCCCCAGAAGGAACTGTGGTTAACAGTTCTTGGTTTCTCCTGTCCCTTCCAAGGTGTCTCCGAATATGAAACATGCATGTGCACACATATTTATACACGTGATAGTAAAACGTACGGGACACTTACAGCGCAGTCATGCGTGTGAAAGTCTGCACTGTCTGCTCCATTTTATGACTGCACCCATCTTTTATGATGTCCACCGCAGCGCTTCCAGCTTTTTGCTTAGATCAATAAACACTTCCACCAACAACATCCGAGAGGACCTGTTTGTTTTAGCAACCTCTTTTTTTAATATTTGGCAAGTTGAAGGCAAAAATTATTGTGGAAGTGTGACTTTAAACTGCAGTTCTCTTCTTATTAGAGAGGTCGGCTCTCATTTCACATGTTTAAGAGTCATTTGTATTTCCTCTTCTGTCAACTGTCTTCTGCTGTCTTGTCCTTTGCTTAGTGTTTTGATGGGTTGTTGGTCATTATCTTCGTTGGGTTGTTAAGAGAAATTGTCCTTTTGATATGAGTTGCAAATATTTTTTCAATTGTCTGTTGACTTTATTTTTGATTGTTTCATCGCATATGGCATGAAAATGTACACGGCTTTTATTCTGTTGCTCTTGAATTGTGTGTCATACTTTAAAACACCTCCCACGCTCTGAGATCATCTTCAAAAAATGTTTTCATGTCTTCTTCCAGTACTTGTATGGATTTATGTCTGTCATTTAAGATAAATTCTTCTAGAATTTACCTGGGTGCAAAGAATGATACAGGAATGTGATTTCATTTTATTTCCCCCCACATGGCTACTCAAGTATCCCAACACCATTTATTAAACAATAATATTTAGGTCAATTTCTGGACATTAACATCGGTCCAGTGATATTTATGTCTATTCACCTGCCCGTACCACAGTGTTTTAATTTCATCAATTATTCATTTCAAGAATGTTCCTTAATCATCTTTAAAAACATACTCTATTTAAAAACTTTTCAACAAATTTTAAAAAATTTTGTTATATGCTTTTCCAGCATCTATAGAGATAATTATATGATTTTTCTCTTTTGATCTATTACTATTATTAATTATATTAATAGTTTTTTCTAATATTGAACCATCTTTGCATTTCTGGAATAAATGAAACTTGTACATGCTTATCTATCTATTAGTGTGTTTCTGCATCCTTTCTGAGGGAATTTGGTTTATAATTTATATTAACCAATGAGATTGTTGTAAAATAAGTGAAATTTTTTTCTTTTCTTTCTTTTTTTTTTTTAATGCTCTAGAGCAGTTTAATTAAATTAGAATTATCTGTTCCTTAACGGGATTTCTTTTAGAAATTCTATAAAAATTCCTGGGCCTGGTGCTTTTGAGAGAGAACTCTTTGACAATGTTTTTTTTTCTTTTGTGTATATGTGGTAATTAGTACATTATATTTTCTGGAGTTAATGTTTATAATTAATATTTTTTTAGACTGTTATCTATTTTATCCTGTATTTCAAAATTTTTTGCAACAAGCTGAGCAAAGTAGTCTTTTTAGATTTTTAAAAGTTTCCCTCATTTTATTTATCCTTTTTCTCATTTCTAGTATTATTCATTTATTCTTTTTCTTGTTTTATCAGTTTATTTTATTGGTGCTTTCTGAGTACTAGCTTTTGGATTTTTTTAAAATAAATTCTACTATTTTCTGATTTATGCAGTCTGATTTTATTTCTCTTGGTTTCTTCTATTTTTCTTTTATGTGTTCTGTTCTTCTTTTTCTAATGTCTTGAATGCTTATTTCATTTAATTTATATGTTTAATATAAGTACTTGTTGTTGTTGTTAGGTGCTGTTGAGTTGACTCCAACTCTTAGCAACCCCATGTACAGAGTAGAACTTCCCTATAGGGTTTTCTATGCTGTAATCTTTATGGGAGCACATCACCAGGTCTTTCTCCTGTGGAGCCACTAGGTAGGTTCAAACCTCTAACCCTTCAGTTAGCAGCTGAATGCTTAACCTTGCACTTCCAGGAGTGTTTAGTATAAATGCACCCACACCTCACTTATTGACATGGTTAGGTTCCAAAGACCAGATCATTATGCGAGAATTGGCATTATGCAAAAGTGGAGGATGACCACATCAGTTCACAAAGTGGAGGATGACTACATCATTACATAACTGCTAAATTACATCATTACATAACTGCCAAATTACATCATTATATAACTGCCAAATTACATCATTACATAACTGTCAAACCATGAGAATCATGGCCCAGTTAGGTTGACATATAACCTTAACCACAGCCAGCATTACTCTCGCCTCACATTTCAGCAATTGTTACTGCCAGGCATACGTCATTAATGTGCAGAATAGTAGGCAGTAGATTTTTTACTATTGTCATAAATGCAAAATTTTGGATAATGAGGTAGTTGATAAGTCAGGGGTAGGTATACTTAAGACTAATGAATTTTTCTCTGAGTACTGCTTTAACCATATTATTTGGTTCTGGTAAGTAATATTTTCTTTATGGTTATTTTTAAGATAGTCTGCAATTTTGACTTAGTACAAGTTAAATCAGTTGTTTAAAAAATATTCTAGATGGTTGCACTTTTAGTTTTTCTAGGTTTCGTTATTTATTTCTAAAATTTTTTGTTTGTTTCTGTCTGTATCTTTATTTTTCCTTTTGACCGGAGACTATTTACGTTATTTTTTCTTTTCAGAATTAAAGTTTTCTTTGTGACCTAATGTTTAATCATTTTTTGTGACTGTTCCTTGTCAATTTGAAAATAAGTTAGTTTTTCTTTGTAGAGCACAGTGTTCTGTATAAGACAATGGGATCTATTTTATTAATTATGTTATTTAGGTTTTATATATCCTTTAAAATTTTTGTGTTTGTTCCCCTTTGAGTCCTCAGCATGCTGGGAAAATGCATGCTTGATAAATGAATGAAAGCTGTAGAACTCCCTGTGGTCACTATAATTTTGTTGTGTTTTGTCTTGTAGCCAAAGATTACTGAGGAAAGCTTGACTTACGCGGAGCTGGAGCTAATTAAACCCCACCAGACAGCCCAAGGTGTTCCCACCAGCACGGTCTATGCCCAGATCCTCTTTCAGGAGAACAAGTTGTAATGCCACATCTTCTTCAATGGTCCTATTTAATATACCTGCCACCCCAGTTATTTATGAAACCTTGGAAGCAAAGTCCTTATTTTTGTATTTTCACAAGTGCCCTCTCTGTGGCAGGCACCCTTTCCAGCTGCGTTCCAGATGCCCTAGAAGAGGTACGGGGCTGGTCTCCAGCAAAGAATTGGGACCATGGACCTTGGCTGAATCTCCCAGAACAAGGTTTTTCTGGGCCTGACCCCTGAGGGGTGAGAACTCTGGTTCCGAGAGCACCATGGAAATTTTCTGTTGAGCCAAACTCTATCACCTGTTCTTTCTCCTCTGAGTTTTTTTAAAAAATATTACTTAATCTTAATTTTAATCTTCTCTTCCCATATTAAGCACATAGTATGTAGCTAGAGGAAATGGGGTTGTAGGCCAAAGTGTAAGATGGTAGATAAGTAGTAATTATTTTTCAAAGGATGGGATTGCATTGCTCATGCACCAGAACCAGAACAAAGCTGACTGCAAGCAGTCACTGGAGACAGTGTCTCTTGCTTTAAATAGATGCACCGATCCTGATGATGCTTTGGGGGAAGTCTGAGGCCTCTGAATTCCCCAATGCCTGCTTCCCCATCCGTGGTCATAGCACAAGTAGAATTCTGTTTCTAAGGCCTTCCATCCCTTTGGCAGGGTAGACTTATACTGGTGTAGCTGTTGCCGTCAAGTTGATTCCGACTCATGACGACCCCATGTGTTACAAAGCAGAACTGCTCCATAGGCTTTTCTTGGCTGCAGTCTTTACAGAAGCAGATCACCAGGCCTGCCTTCCATGGAACTGCTGGGTGAGTTCGAACTGCTCACCTTTAGGTTAGCAGCAGATCACAAACTGCTTGCGCTACCCAGCTCCTTATACTGGTGTAAGAAGTTTGTACTCACCTTTTTCCAGAGACACACCGGAGTTTCCCACCACATGACACACTGGAGCCAGTGGCCTCTTCAGAGCGCCTTGAAGTCCATCAGCTCTGATTGAACCCCGCTCATTTGAGAGCAGAGTATTTTGCCTGGTTCCCTCAGGGTAGGAGAGTGGGCATACAAGCCAAACTGGAAAGCGATCTCCTGAAGACCCTCCTATTGTAAAGTGCCTTGCCCGTCTCAACTTTGTGTGTGAATTCTAACAAGTCGTGAGGCTGGGGTCAGGGATTCCTGGAGTACAATTACTCCACGCGGAAGTTGCTGTGTGCCCTTGCAGGAAACACAGGGAACTGGGACTCACTCATGGCAGATGCGTCTGGAAGAGCGTCGTCCTGGAAACGGCACTGTTACGGACATTTCCTGATGTGAGTTTTCTCTGGTGGGATTTACTGCATGCTACAGAACTCGTTGGGCTAGCTAATGGACAACATATATATGGTAAATGTATTTTAAACACAACCTTAGGTTTGAGTTGTGCCCCTCTACACAGCTGTGTGACCTCCGTAGAGTTTCTTATCTCCTAATAGCTCAAGACTCCATGTTTGTGTAAAAGTGACTGAACACAAAATGGGAGAATGAACATTGCAGCATTCTGGAATGTATAAACTGCTACACAGATGCACTGTGTTGACGTTCATGCTAAAGCCAGCCTGCTTTCTCAAACTGAAAAAGTCTCTATTATTTAAGTCTTTCATTGTAATAGCTTTAAAAAGTTTAAGTATTTGTCCACTAACTCAGCTTTACAGTAACTTTCCCAAAGACCCATGATGGCATACGAGCTCCTTGCGTGGCTTATTGGAAAGGATCCAAATTGGGAGCATTCAGATTGTGTTGGTGAAGAATATTACGTATACCCTGGACTTTGAGAGGAATGAACCAATCAGTGTTGGTGGAAGTACAACCAGAATGCTCCTTAGAAGCGAGGATCACTTACTTTGGACATATCATCAGGAGGGACCGATCACTGGAGAATGACATCATGTTTGGTAAAGAAGAGGATCAACAAAGAAAAGAGGAACCCTCAATGAGATGGATTGACATAGCGGCTACAACAATAGATTCAAACATACCAAAGATTGTGCGGATGGTGCAGGACCAGACCAGGTTTCATTCTGTGATACGTAAGGTTGCTATGAATTGGAGCCAGCTCAAGGCAGCTGACAACAATGATTTTTCCAGAAACAAAAATGGCCTACCTTTGCAGAAAGGAAGCCCAGCCTCCTTGGTCTGCCTGTGCATTTCCTTCCCTCCCTGGCTGCCATACTTCAGAGACAGTGAGTAAACCATGTGGCTTTTGAGAAAGAAAGACCACTTGGAAGAGCTCGCTAGAACCTCCCAGAGCATCTGTTTGGGAGGGCAGGATAGATGGTTGACACACCATTCCCATCATAATCATCACAGGTCCTTTTTAAATTTTATTTATCGTGGGAATTTTTCAACAGATAGTTTTTTAGTGTTTTGAGGAAGGTAGGGGTGTGTTTTCCCTAACTTGCAGAGAAGAGCATTATGGGTTGGTGGGGCCTGGGGGTGCTAGGTGGGGATGGGGAGGGGGGGCATGTATAGAGAAGTTGGTGGGCAGAGAGGAACGGGGCAGGAGGCAGTGTCTTCCTCGGCCCCCAGGCCTCTACAGAACCAAATGGAATTTCGGTACCTCCCCCCACTCTCCCCTCCTCAAATCTAGTTAGAGCTTGGGGTCATCACATTTGGAAATCAGCGCACCTCACTAAGAAGAGCAAATACTTCTAAGAGCTAGTAGCCATCCATATGTAACAAGGTCATTGTTATAGATTCACTTCAGCTGCAATGGCTGCACAGAGCCACATTAAGCTGCGTGAGTACGAGCCTTGCAGTCTTGTATATAAAAAGAGGCCGAAAGACCATTTAAAAAAAAAACCAAACCCACTGTCATCGAGTCAATCCTGACTCATAGCGACCCTGTAGGACAGAGTAGAACTGCCTCCTAGGTTTTCCAAGGCTGTAAACTTTACGGAAGCAGACTGCCACATCTTTCTCGGGCAGAGGGGCTGGTGGATTCAAACCACGTGCCCAGCACTTTAACCATTGAGCCACCAGGGCTCCTAAAAGACTATCACCTTCTGCTAAAAATGCTTTCCAAGGGAGTAGTGGGAGCTACTGGCAGCATTTAAGGAGACCTTGTCTCAAAATTATCTCCAAAAACAAACCATCCAAGCTGTGCTCAGAAGCAGAGGCAATGAATGGTTTATACCTGGTGCTTCTTGGGGGTGATCAATCTTGACATTATTGCCATAAGGTTAAGAAGTAGGACTACTCATTCTCTATCAAGTACACCGCTAGCCAGGCACTGGCATTTCTCAAGGTAAGTAAGGAGAAACGTGTCAGCTGAGTGTTTGAACGACATGTGCCATTCACATAGAAAGGAGGGTAATTCTTCTATTTGTTTCTGCTATAAGGCATCTGTGGGAGCAACTACACATGAATAGTTTTCAAAATGGACAACTGCGTGTACATTTAAGTGATGTTAAAACAGGAGCACACTGCTCAGGAAGTAGTGGCTTCTTGCAGCATGGTGCAGATACCCCCAAGTGGGTGGCACATTTGGCCTAGTCCACACATGGCATGGGACTGTCACAGGAAGCAAGGGGTTGTAAAGGAGTGCTCCGTCTTTGCCCAGTCAGAGCCCCAAGCCCTGAACCAAAGCACCTGCTGTTGGAGGAGAATGCTGGTGTCCTTTAGGATCTCAACGTCACTAAACCATTATGGCTCTGTTAGCTCACGTGGCAAATGAGAACAAGCCAGGCCCACCCCCTCTGACATTTGCTGGAGTGAAAAGGACTTGGGCACTCCTATTTTTTTAGTGCATAGTCAACTGGGTTGGTCGGCACGCATGTTAATAGGCTCAAAGATTCACTTCCAATCTAAGCATTAAGCGAGTTGATGCTTTTAGGGACTAATCATGGCCTTGCCCATCATCCAGCCCTTGCCCCGATATGCATGACCATATCTCACTGGGCCACATATGAGATCCATGCCCTATATATCCATGTGCATATAGCCTGGTCTGGGCTAATCAGAATCTTTGGAAGGAAGAAACCATCTTGCCCTCAGGCAGCTATGCTGGGATGCTATATATCAGCTCTTCCTCCAGCCACATATCCTTCCAAGTGGAGAGGCCTTCAAGAATGAAGGAGACACTGAGAAAGAAGCAGGGAAGAGAATGTCCTGGAAGCACAGAATTCCAACTCCCAGCCCATAAAATCTCTCAGACTCTTCTCTTCCCTTCAGATCTTGCTTTGATTCAATAAACTACCCCATTATCCTCCTATATAAGTCCTGGTTTTGCTCGAGCTAGTTCAATGGTAACAAAGAATTCTGACAAATTCAGTGTACTGGTTTGGATAGCATCACCCAAAATTCATGTTCTTACTGGAACCTTGGAATGTGACCTTATTTGGAAGTAGAGTCTTTGTAGATGTATTAAGATGAGGTCATGCTGGAGTAGGGTGGGCCCTTAATCCAGTATGACTTCTGTCTTTATCAGAAGAGGAGAAGAGACACAGGTGCAGAGGGAAGACAGCCATGTGAAGACAAAGGCAGAGATTGAGGTTATGGCCCCACAAGGCAAGGAACGTCTAGGGCTACCAGAAACTGGGAGGGGCGAGGAAGAATTCTCCCCTAGAGCCTTCAGAGGAAGCATAGCCCTACCAACACCTTGATTTTGGACTTCTAGCCTCAGAACTGAGAGAATGAATTTCTGTTATTTTCAACCACCCAGTTTGTGATGCTTTGTTACAGCAGCTGCAGGAAACTAATACAGTATGCATCATAGTTGCTCCGCAGCATAGGGAGTCACACATGCACGCACACACACACACACACACACAAAAAAAAATGATACCAGACACCATTACCCAAGGGCCCTGCTCACATCACGTAACCACTGGACTTGCAGCCATAAGCTCCTGCTGCACTGTCCTAACTTAGCGCACCCTCTCCAGGCTTCAAAGATGCTCTTCTCAATGAAGAGACACCCTCAAACCTTCAGGACTGATGCTCTCCCAAAGGAGGGGAAC